GAAGGTACAGAGCATGGTGAAACTAATAGAAGAAGACGGCGACTCGTTTGCCAAACGGGCCGAAATGTACTACAAACGCAGGCCCGAACTCATAAGCTCGGTCGAAGAATCTTACCGGGCCTTCAAGGCCCTAGCCGACCGTTACGACCTCCTCTCCAAAGAACTCCAAAACGCCAACCACACGATCGCCACCGTTTTTCCCGAGCAAGTCCAATTCGACATGGACAACGAATACGACGATTGCCCCACCACCCCCAAACTCCCGAAAAATTCCCAAACGCCCCCCGCAAACTTGCCTAATATCCCAAAGGCCCCCATCGAAAACCTCAAGGGCCTCATCTCCACCGCCTCCAAACAATTCCAAGCCAAAAAATCGTCGTCGACCGCTTACAAGAAGCCCAAAACCGCTGGCAAGCCCAACATTGTCGTGAAATCGGGCCTAGCAAAGGATGAAGCCTTAGTCGAGATAGATAAGCTCCACAAAGAGATACTCGCTTTGCAAACGGTCAAAGAGTTTGTTAAGAGCTCGTACGAAAGCGGGCTCGCCAAGTATTGGTCGATCGAGAACCAAATCATGGAGCTTCAAGACAAAGTTAGCCTATTGCAGGACGAATTTGACGTCGAGACTGTTATCGAAGATAACGAGGCCCGAACATTGATGGCCGAGGCAGCTCTTAAGTCTTGTCAAGAGACACTCGCAGTTTTGGAGGAAAAGCAGGAAAAGTCGACCCGCGAGGCCAAAGAGGAGTTCAAGAAAATCGAGTCTGCTCGTGAGCTCTTGAAGTCGATTAAGCACGAGTTCATGAAAGAGTCGGCCGAAGACGAGGAGCAGAAGAAATCGAGTAGTGTTGTCGATGATGATAAGGGAGACGAGGGCAAAAACGAGATTTTCTCGAAAAAAAACAACAAGAGCCTCGATTTTGGATCGACACTTACGGTGACTGAGCTGGCGGAGAAGATAGACGAGCTGGTTAATAAAGTGATTAGTCTCGAAACCGCAGTCTCGTCTCAAACGGTCATGATTAACACGTTGAGGAATGAAGCGGACGAGCTTCACGTGCAGATTAAGAGCTTGGAGGATGAAAGGGAGAGTTTGATAGGAGACACGAATAATTTGAACACGAGGGTGAAGGAAATGGAGGAGAAGTTGAAGAGGATCGAGAATCTGAATAGGAATGTCGAGAATCAGAACACGAGCTTGCAGTCGAATTTCGCTGCTGCACGCTCGAGCCTCGAGCACTTGTCTGAGAAGTTGAGCACGGTGAAGCCGGAAGAGGAAGCTGACGGAATCGAAAGTTTTAATAATAATAAGACGACAAAAGATAAGGAAGAGGAAGCTAAGCCAGAAAAGGAGATAATAAAAAAGGAGGAAGAACAGAGGCCGGAGAAAACAATAGTAAATACAAACGAAAAAACTTTCGAAAAACAAGAAGAGATAAAGAATCCGGTTGAGGAAAACTCTAAAACGACGAACATGAGCCCGGCAAATCCAATAATCGAGGAGACAATGATAGATGTGAAAGAAGTCGAACAAGAACAAATCAAAAAACCCGCCAAGAAAATGGTCACATTCTTGGACGAGAAGCAAAAGGAAGACGAACCAGCCAAAACTGGGACAGTAAAAGAAGACGAGCTCAACTGGCAACAAATACTCCTAAGCGGGACCGAAGATCGAGAAACGATCCTCCTCAAAGAATACACCGCTATCCTAAGAAACTACAAAGAGGTGAAGAAAAAGCTAAGCGACAACGAAAAAAAAGAAAAAGACATTCAGTTCGACGTGACTCTCCAAATGCGCGACTTCAAACAAGCGATCCTCAAACGGGACCAAGAAATCCAACACCTCCGCGACAAAATAACCCGCCTCATGCAGGCGAACAATAACGACGTTGATGTCGAAATTACCGAATCGCCCCTCAAGGACAGGGACGAGATCAAGATCGACTTCATAGAGCAGCGAGAACGAACAATCTCGCCCGTCGAAGAAAAGCTTCGCTCGGAAATCGACGCTATTCTCGACGAAAACCTTGACTTCTGGCTGAGGTTCAGCACAGCTTTCCACCAAGTGCAGAAGTTTAAAAGCGAAGTAAGAGATTTGCAGGACGAAATCATAAAACTGAAGGAAAAAAAGAAGCAAGAAGGAAGCGTGAACCAACAGCACAAATCCGAGGCTCGGCCCATTTACAAGCACTTAAGGGAGATTCAGACAGAGCTGAGTGTTTGGCTCGAGCAAAGCGTGTCTTTGAAAGACGAGCTGAAACGGAGGTTCGAGTCATTATGCAGCATACAAGAGGAAATTACGATGGCTTTGAAAGAAGGGGTTGAAGAGGAAGAAATACAGTTCAGCAGCCACCATGCAGCTAAATTGCAAGGGGAGATTCTGAATATGAAGCAAGAGAATAATAAGGTGAGGGAAGAGCTGCAGGCAGGGTTAGACCATGCGAGCGTGCTGCAGATCGAGACAGAGAAGACGCTGAGTCAGCTGAACGAGGAGTTTGGGATATCGACAGATCAGCCGAAGATGCAGCACAATATGAGCAAGGCTCGTGTGCCTTTGAGGTCGTTTATATTTGGGACGAGAGCGAAGAAGCAGAGGCACTCACTTTTCTCGTTCATGCATCCCAACAGGAAGTTTCATGTCGTGCGGCCTGGGGGAATGGCGACGAGTGATCAGTGATTTTTTTTTTTTTTTTTTTTTTTTTTTTCTTTGGTTTGGTTGTGGGATTCTTTTAAAGGATGTTGTTTGGTTAACAGTTTCTTGGGATGTAGATAGAAGAGAGCTTCTGTTTTTGATTCAATGTTTTGATTGGTGTGTTGGATTTTTTTTGTGAAGCAAGAATTGGTTGGGGTTGTAAACTATGAAATGTTGGTTCACTAGAATGTAAGCAGAGAAAAACATGTGCATCTCCTTGTTTGGTTCTCTATTGATTTTGGACTCTTCATCTTTTTCCCTGTCATGTGGCTGCTTAAGATGTAGTTCTGCCTTAATATTGAGGAGTTCACAATAACTCAAGTTTAAGGAGGTAAATATATGAAAAATCAAATTACAAAGCATTTTATCCTTATTTATGAAGAGCCGCTGAGTTTTTTCCATAATTAGCTCAGGAATCATTGGAGTGAACATGCTAATAGGTAGAGCATTGCGGTTTAGAGACAGTTTGCATACTCGTGATTAATTGCCAGTTTCTTCATAGAAAAATAAACAGTTTTCCAAATTTTCAAACATCAACATCTTCTTGTGACTGCATAATGCAATCATTTTAAACGAACACGAAATACTTCTGAGCCTCAACTTTGTGAAAATCAATTAAACTTTTAGGCTTTCTTCATTCTGATTTCATCAATTCAACCTTTTCTTGTGACTGCATAAAGTCTTTCCTCATTCTGATTTAATCAAGTTCTGTGGTGATTCTTTGTAGCTTAGAAGACTTCACAGCAAGGGTTGTTATCAAACCAAATTGTTCGCGAAAAAGACTTGTTCATGTTCGATAACAACTCGTTCGTTTAGTAATCGATCTGAACTCAAACACGAACAAGTTCGCGAACTAATCGAGCATTCGCAAACAAAACACGTCCATGAACTTTTTGAATATAATATAGAATATAATATAGATATGGATATATAGAATATAACTTGTATGGAATTAAAAAATAAATAAATAAATCAACAACACGTCCACGAACTTTTCAAACAATTCGAACACAAGCTTATCAAACCATTCGAATAGTTCACGACAAGTTCGACTATATAAACGGACGAAGATGAACGTTTCGAACCAATAAACGAACAAATACAAACGAAAATTTTGTTCTATTACTAAATGAACGAACATGAACTTGTTCGAAAATTAGTTAAACTCGAGCTCAAAAACCTTAAGCTCGGTTTGGTTCGGTTCGATAACAACCCTATTCACAGTATTGGTCCCTTCAATCTACCTCTCGAAAATTTTCCATACATCGGTGGAACAATGGATGATCATTTTGTAATGAATTAGATCTACCGCCGACATGACTACATAGAGAGCACGAAAGCTTCTTCTCCTTGCTTTTCAAGATGGCTGCATCAGTTGAAGAGGGTTCATTCTTTTCAGGAGGAGATTTTTCCATCATAGGTAAGGTCCAGCCAGTCTCTCTAATTTGCCTCTTCCAGACAACCTTAAGAAGACCATTGTCATGGATTTCCAATACGAATAATTGTATCCATCAAGGTACAAAGGGTGTAAAATCGACAAGTCGTCGTGGTTCATGGTGCCCAACCCAAATGACCTTAGATCTTTATCCTGTGATTAGAACATGAACACAACTCTGATACCAAATGAAACGTATACGAGAAGAAAACTAAAATATGTGAGGTGTGTTCGAACACCGAAATTAAAAGCAAAAGCAAACAATTTAAAAATCTCTTTTGGGAGCGTCTCGCTACCTCTCAGAGCTTTTAATAGACTGGTTTGCACGCACAAAGTCCAATTTGGACTTACAAGACTCGAACTCCATCATTCTAGCTAACATTATACCCGACTCTATTAGCTAATCCTCTGGTCACAAACGTGGACTTCACAATAGTTATGGATCTCTCCTAGCTACACTAGCACTTAATCCCTAAGCACGAAAAGTGTTTGTAAAAAGATAATCAAATTGTACATAATAAAACTCGAAAAACTAATAAATCACAAACATTCAATGAAGTCTAATGATATAATAAATATCGATTTATGCAACAACCTTCAATTCAGTCGTTGTGTAGGCTAATATACAACCTCCTCAAGATAAATAGTCTTCAAAACATCCTCGCGTTTTGAAGCCGATTTCCTTCCTTCTTTAATCCTTAAGATATGCCCGAGATCTTCCAATAAAAAAGCCGATATCTTCTTGTGCAATCTAGCTCGACTAGCTTCGTATAGTACTTAAGTACGCGATCTCCATGAATAATATAAAACAACAAATATGGTAAAAGACAACTATATATAAATAAAGTCTATTACATACTAATGTAATATTTATGTGTCATATATAACAATATAGTATCTAGACTTAATTAAATAGGAGGGATAAAGAAAATATAATAGACCTTTCTTTTTATTTTTCTTGCTTGCTAGAATACCGAGATATTATTTTTTGAACTTCTTGATAAAAATAAATCTTACAACCATTATAGTGCTAAGTATATAACAAATTTAATGCAATTATGATGAGAAAAATAAATTAATATGAAAATTAATGTAATTATGGTGGAGAAGAAAAGAATGTCTTATCTTTCCTTTGAAGTTTTCAACAATGGATTAGATGTCAAATAATTTAAACGATATAAATTCTGAAAAGTCATAAAGCACATGAGCCATGACACAAACACCAAACTTATAGTTATTTGTTTTCCCTTTTATGAGTATTTTCTCTTCACAAAGTTCCTTTGCAATGATAAAAGTTACCTTTGCTTATGCGCATACACGTCGTAATGTTCTTATTATATGAATTCCAAATCATATGCGCTCAATACTTATGAATCAACTTTTTCAAGACACTCGTATATATCTCCAAATCTTATGTTAAATAAATGACATTATAATTAAGAGAGTTAAATTTTAATAAATATACATGTTTTATAATGGTAAATTGTATCTTCAAAATAATACATTTCACATAAAAAAAAATTATGTCATGTACAGTAAGAATTAAATATACATTTCATTCAAAATTTAGGCACGTTTAACAATTATACCATCCCGCCGGAAGCTTTGTTCTCGTGATATAGTAAATAAGCCTTGAATCATGGTTAAGAAAGTGAATTTGAAACTTCATTGTATATTATGAGATTGATAAATGAAAAATTAAAGTAAAATTAAAAAAAAAAAAAAATACTATCTATTCATGCATTTAACTCAAGAGTTCGAAGCCAAATACCTAAATAGGACTTCGGGCAATCTATTAGTTACTGCTTTGAAACCAAAAGGTCCAAAACTGTTCTGGGGGCATAATTGGCATTCCGTCCAAATTATCAAATTTCACTGTTTCAACGGCCCTTGCAAGGACATTCCCGTAAATTCAGATACCTCCACACTGATAACTACCACCGAGCGGCTGCACAAAAGAAAACAAGAAAAATAAAAAAGAAGTGAAAATGACAAGAACAAAATACGCTTCTGTCAGCTAAACTCACCAGTCGCCACTACCACTGAACCACCACTCATCATCTCCTGCAACCACCGCCTGCAACCACCAGCCTTTACTCCCCAGTATTCATCGAAACTCAAATCATACATCGTCTCCTTTTCTGCTCGTAGCACTAAAATTATTCTCAGATGCCAAGGAAAGAGTAGCTGCAGGATTTGAATTTAGCCCTTTCATTTTTCCATTTTGTATTGGAATATATTTGAACTCCTTTTGAGGTGAAGGTGAAAATGGAAGCCGGGTCTAGGCTAGAGCGAGAAACCAAGGATGCTGGGGGAAAGGGTGAGAAGCTTGGATCCATTTTGGATCCCAAAATCGAGCCGTTCGTGCCGAGGAAAGGATACGACCCGAGAGAGTTGAGGTCTTGGGCTAAGAGAACTGGTTTTGTGTCGACTTTCTCTGGGGAGACTGAGAGGAGTATGAGTGGAAGGAGAGAGTTGACTGAAGGGAGGAGTATTGGCAATAGCAGTAACAATGGTGGTAATGATGGATTTCGTAGTAGGTTTGATTTGGAGAAGGGTGTACTTGAGAAGAGTGAGTCTATTTCACCCACAATTGAGATAGATCCTATTCTGGGGAGGACTAGAAAGAGAGAGCATGAGATTGAGCCCGCTTTGGGAGGTGGCAGAGGCAATGGCGGTGGGGACAGAAATGTAATTTTAGGGTTTAGAGATGGAGGTGTGAGAGGTGAGCCTGAAATGTCGAGGAATGAGGTAGAGGAGATGAACTTGGGCGCAGTTAATGCATCGAGAAAGGATGGGATTGATGGGAATGAAAATGGCTCCATGAACAAAAATGAGCCGACCTTTGGTACAAATGGACATGGTATAGAGCGAAAGACGGGTGATGGAGATTTGGGAGGTGGTGTGTATCCTGATGGAGATGATTTGGGTAATGGCGAATGGCAAGCTTCGCCAAAAATGGCGTGTGGGATGAAAGACAATCCTGGCTATGGTTAGCTAGCTTTTAGTGTCTAAATGAATTTTTTGTTGATATTGTAGGGCTAACTATAAATTTGCTGGTTTTGTCGTGCTTGTGCTCTTTTTAGTCTATTGGAAAGTTTGAAGTCCTGCTAAAATATGAATCTTATTATATTGCTTTGATATGATTTTCGAATTATGCCAGCAATTCTCAAAGTTGCATTTACTTTTAGGATTTTTCTTAGTCTGCTTGTTTAAATATCTTTCGATTCTAAAAAGTAAGCACTAAGAGTTGAATCTCGTTAGGATTGCAGGTGAAACTGAACTGAAGTTGGCTGAGACCGACTATGTTCAATGAATCTGTTATTATTTGGCTAAGTTGTTTAATGCTTTTAGGAATGGGGTTACATGGTGCTATGCACAAAGCAAGATGAAAAAGCTAGCTGGTTGAACATTTACATTTGATTAGCATTCAAGGCTGTTTCTTCATCTCAGACAAAACGATTAGCGGCTTCTAGCAAGCTTCACTGACAATTTTCATTTTCCTTACAGTATTGTAAATAGATTTTTTCCTTAAAAGTAGACTTGCAGCATGCAACTAGATTCACCTGCTTAAGATTTGCCAGCTCATCAATATTGTCTAGATGACCATCTTTTGTTTGACTGGGAAAAATAAAAAATAAAAAAAAAACTATATATAACACTACTGTTTGGTTGCTTTTGCTCCTGCTGCTTTTTTAGACTTCTAAACAGTTAATTTATGTTTCGTTATTGCATAGGTGACAGCAAAATATACGACAAGTAATCAGGTTTCTTTCTGTTGTGTTACATGAAACTGATTCCAACATTATGTTGCATGTGCAATTCAAATTTTTTCCATTCACCATTTTTTTCTTTGAAAATGCAGTGGCGGCAATATTCTACGGTTTGCAACACTATTTATCTTTGGCTGGCTCACTTATTTTCATTCCTCTGATAATTGTACCTGCAATGGGAGGAACTGATGTAAGCATTTGGTCTCCTTAATTTTCTCATTAGGTGATTCGCCATTTTGTGCCTCACTTAGGTTTTCTCTGAAAAATGGTGACAGAAAGATACTGCAACTGTAATTTCAACTATGCTGCTGTTAACTGGCATCTCAACAATACTCCATACGTACTTTGGCACTCGCCTTCCACTGGTTCAAGGCAGTTCGTTTGTTTATTTGGCTCCTGCATTAGCTATCATGAACTCACGAGAATTTCGGAATCTTACTGAACATGTAAGCATTTTCCGTTTTGTGTACTGGTGTTCTAAACCTTTGTCCGTAATGTTGGAAACTATTAATTTACGGACAGTGCACAGTAAAAAAAAAGAGATACTATTATTATTTTTTTTTGGATCACTCAAAAGAACTGAAGAAACATGCAGTTCTTTTTTTAAGTCTACTATTTCTGCTTCTAGTGTCAAACTTCACCAGAGTTTCATTACTTAGTGCCCGCCAGATTCTGCAAAAATTTATATCATGTAACTCCATTTCAGAATTAGACTTACTAAGAGCGGTTTAATGTTGGAAACCTAAATCCTTAAACAAGAAGATTATTTTAGTTGGAACTATTCTCTGGGTTTTTGTTTAATTTAGAATTTGATACTTAACGATTGCATCTTGTGTTTGTTCCGATGTATTCAGAGGTTCAGGCACATCATGAGAGAACTACAGGGGGCTATAATTGTTGGCTCAATTTTCCAGAGCATTGTGGGATTCAGCGGCCTGATGTCTCTACTCTTAAGGTAATATTGAAAGAGTGCGCCATTTT